AACGCTCTCAATTTCTTTTCCACCGGGAAGCTTTCAATATATTGGTAACATTAAAGCACAGCTCAATTGACCCATCACTAGTACGGAGGCCTTCCAATAAGAAAAAATTTATCAGGATATCTGCTAAATCAATAATGATAATAATAATATTAATAGAGCCAGATTGTAACTCTTTTCGGACCTTCTTGATAATGTTTACCATGTGCATGAAACAGGTATCAATTACCTATAGTTTTGAATGTCTAGATCAAAACATAGTAATCTTTTCATCAACAAAGTTTACATCCAATGCGGATAAATATGCAAGTATGTATGTAAAATGATAAATATTAAATTTCAGATCTATCTAGCAAAGGAGATCGATTTTTTCTTAAAAGAATTTTAATTATGTGCACTAGACATACATTAGAAATATTATCTAATAAAGTTGAAGCCTAAATGTCCTATAATGAGGCCGGATTCATTCTCTATTTAGCCAGTGCTTTCAGTGCTTTGATCAGAGTTAAAGAGAAAATTCTGGAATAACATTCTGTGTGTGCATGTGATTTTTTATGCTTACAATACTCAAATTCATGTTCGTTGTATAAAAGGTATTACGAAGTTTTTTTTTCCTGAACGGGTGTCAGATAAACCAAAGTGACCTTTGAAATAGGACCCATTACACTGATTGACAAAGTAAATTTTCTTAGCCTAGATATCATGATATTTTAACCATTACAAAGTTAATACATAATATTTAATAATTACACGAAAGCTCTCAAATTAACATAGAATATTTGTAAAATTTGTGTATGTCAGTTTCGAACTCCGTACGTTTAGCTAAATTCATCATTGTAATGGAGAAAAAAAACATGATTACAACAATGTAATGCTTTAAATATATTGAAATTGCTTTTGAAAGATTTTTCTCACAAGAACATATGTGAACAACAAGAAATTTAACAAACAAACCCATTATTTGCTTTTAAATTTATGGATTGTTGGTATATTCCGGTTTCGCACTTTCGTTGCTGCCGATACACAAAAAATTCTCCGTTTCGCTTTTTAGTCATCCCGAGAATCATCACGTGACCGTTGTTTTTATTCAGATTTGCAAACTGAAAGGTGTTTAAACGCTTTTCCCACAAAATTGGAGAAAATATGTATTTCAAACGACTTGCCAATCCAAAGAACACATATCAATGTATCACTGATTCTGTTTGAATGTCCCTAACTCGCAGGTAACAAAAAAATATCGGTTCGTGAAATTTTACTTTTTTTTGTGACATTCGGCCGTACCTCAGTGGAGTACCTTTAAGAAATTTTACAGTTCTTATATTATCATAAGAAATTGAGTCAGTTTAGTTAAAAACATGACTGAGCCGTGTCACCACAAAACCAACATAATGGGAATGCGACCAGCATGGATCCAGACCAGCCTGCGGCTCCGCGCAGTCTGATCAGGATCCATGCTGTTTGCTTACCAACCCTTTTACAAGTCGAGAAACTGATAGCGAACAGCATGGATCCTGATCAGACTGCGTAGATGCGCAGGCTGGTCTGGATCCATGCTGGTCGCAAACCCATTATGTTGGTTTTGTCATGACACGACTCATATTGTCATCTTAGTGCAGAAATACCTTAATGGGCTAACTCCTATTAGATTATAGTAGGAATTAACCCGGTACTGCTCTAAGGTAACAATCTTCCCATCTGTTATTAAATGTATTTCAATTAAGTTATGCTAAAAAGCAGTAGATTACAAATTCATTGTATATAGTTAGAACAGATACACTTTTCCAGTGATAGCATATTGGACTACAAATCAATTTGGTACAGTAGGGAGGGGCCGAACCTAAAACCCCATCTATAATCTAATAGGTCTTTCAGATGGGACAGTAAAGTATCGAGGTCCAGAGTAATAGCCTTTCATACCTAAACCTTGCATGTTAATGCACCAGTTGTTTCGCCTGCAATATATAAAATTTGGGACAATTATGCCAAAGACTTAAAATACTGATAAGTTTTGGAGAGTAAGTCATCAGTTTATATTTCCTTTGACAACATATCACATTTAAGTAGGTTTGGCAATTTGGCAAACTATAGAAAAAGGGGTGTCTGCAAAAAACAGACTGGGCAAGATTTTGACAGGAAAAAAAGTAGACAAGCCCTGGTTAATTTATTTATTAAAGGAACACCACTGAGGTCTATAAAAGCCATGTTTGAGTAAAAAGCATTGCAAGGCTTTCCAATTTTGGTTCATTTTTCATTTTAACTAGTAGAATGATGATGGTCTCGAGTTATCAGTGTAGACCTACATCAAATGGAACATTAATCATGTCACTAATAATGTGGTAAAATTTACTCCAGTCCCGTCATGTCTAAAAACCTCTGTGGAGTCCCTTTAAAGAGAAAAAGAATGTTCTTGTTTTAACATCCCTTTAATTGTGCTTGTTAATTGATTTTTATGCCCCCACGGAGTGGGAGCATATAGCGTTGCACTTGTCCGTCCGAGTGTCAGTCCGTCAGTCCGTCAGTCCGTCCGTACGTCCCGAAATCTTGTGAACGCAACTCCTCTTAAACCGGATGGCAGATTTTGCTTAAACTTACAGGGATGAACAACCTTAATGTGTAGATGGTAGTAAAGGAAGGAATTTTTGCTGCGACCAAATTTAACAGAATTATGGCCCTTTGTTGATTTTTTCACTAGATACTATGAAGAAATTTTGTGAACGCAACTCCTCTTAAACCACATGGCAGATTTTGCTTAAACTTACAGGGATGAACAACCTTAATGTGTAGATGGTAGTAAAGGAAGGAATTTTTGCTGCGACCAAATTTAACAGAATTATGGCCCTTTGTTGATTTTTTCACTATATACTATGTAGAAATTTTGTGAACGCAACTCCTCTTAAACCGCATGCCAGATTTTGCTTAAAGTTACAGGGATGAACAACCTTAATGTGTAGATGGTAGTAAAGGAAGGAATTTTTGCTGCGACCAAATTTAACAGAATTATGGCCCTTTGTTGATTTTTTCACTATATACTATGTAGAAATTTTGTGAACGCAACTCCTCTTAAACCGCATGGCAGATTTTGCTTAAACTTACAGGGATGAACAACCTTAAGGTGAAGATGGTAGTAAAGGAAGGAATTTTCGCTGCGACCAAATTTTTTACAGAATTATGGCCCTTTGTTGATTTTTTCACTATATACTATGTAGAAATTTTGTGAATGCAACTCCTCTTAAACCGGATGGCAGATTTTGCTTAAACTTCCAAGGATGAACAACCTTTATGTGTAGATGGCAGTAAGGGAAGGAATTTTTGCTGCAACCAAATTTAACAGAATTATGGCCCTTTGTTGTTTTTTTCATTATATACTATGTAGAAATTTTGTGAACGCAACTCCTCTTAAACCGGATGGCAGATTTTACTTAAACTTCCAGGGATTAACAACCTTAATGTGTAGATGGTAGTAAAGGTTGGAATTTTTGCTGCGATCAAATTTAACAGAATTATGGCCCTTTGTTGATTTTTAGTTTTCAACTTGTGGCACATGTAGTCCAAAAAATATTTGACCTAGAGTCATAAGATTGACAGAACAGTGGTGTGTGGGGGCATCCGTGTCCTATGGACACATTTCTAGTTTTCTACTGTCATGTGCAATATTTGTTAACTGCCTGTTGTAATATTTAAACTATTTATTTCTATTTTGACATCATATTGATGAAATAATCTGCAAGTGTAAGGTTGCGAGAGTCTAAATCCGGAAAGGTAAATACCGCAATTGAATTTGCCGTCAAACACTTGTCTTTATCAGAGTAATAATCAATATCAAAGTGCGGTTAAACAAAGATTAACTACAATTATTTAAACATTATTTTGTTTAACATTCATTTTATCTTGTTTGAATGTTTCATTTAAGGTATTGTTACTATAAATTTAGCACTTTGGATGAAATGAGATTAAAGTTGATTTGATTGAATGTTCTTTTTTCTAGTTTTTGAAATCATTGATTTTTGAACATTTTGTTTTAGGTTTCAAAGATACTGTATAATAGATTGAGTGAATAATATCTAAAAAATATAAACATACATTTTTAAATGCCTGAAAATATTTTGTACTGTTTATTTACAACTTGAAGAGAAAAACAATTATTTATTTGTCTTGAGTTGCAAGGTAATTACATAGGCATGACATTTTTCTAAGATTTTGTTAGACTACAAATAACTATTTTTTCACAATAACCATTTAAAATTTATTTTGAAAGGTATTGATTGTTTGGAAAAACAACAACACCCCCCACCCCAAAAAAAAAACAACAACAAAAAACAAACAAAAAAACAACAAAAAACCAGATATCTAAGATATGAGCCGCGCCATGACAAAACCAACATAATGGGTTTGCGACCAACAACGATCCAGACCAGGCTGCGCATCAGCGCAGTCTGATCAGGATCCATGCTGTTAGCTGTCTGTTTCTCTACTTGTTACAGGGTTTGTAAGCGAACAGCATGGATCCTGATTAGACTGCGCGGATGCGCAGGCTGGTCTGGATCCATGCTGGTTGCAAACATATTATGTTGGTTTTGTCATGGCGCGGCTCGTATCTAGTAAATGTTACGAGTATCACTTCAATCCAGCCCTTACAAGGATAACAAGCAGACAAACATTTCAACTCTCAAAATATTTCCTGAAGCAGCAAGAGTATTTTTAGCACCAGATATCTAAGATTTCTGTGTACTAGTAAATATAATTTATAAATAATAATAATAATTATAAATAATTTATAATAAACTTATAAATAGGGGAGGCAATCAAGTCAAGTATAAGATATGTTTCCATCACAGTAGTAAAAGACCCATTTGATTATTTAGAGTGATTTGGTCTGCTTTCTGGAACCATTATAAGGAGAAAAAACACGTTACGTGGAAGGAAAAGATACCTCAAAATTTGGAGACTGTGTTATAAGAAATTTTTGGATTGTGACTGATATTAAATGACTTGTTTATTTTCAGCATCCAGTCACCTCAAGATGTAGGGTAAGGAAACAAGTAGGTCTAACTAATCGTTGGAGATTGCCCGAGTCCTTGGGCAGTGATCTGTTGGGAAGTTCACAGGCCATCAAAGCTGTCAGCATGCCATACAATCAAACCCTTATGAACATTATCACTGGTAAAAGCTAAGTTTCATACTCTTTAAGTTACATTGTATTTGATTGGAACTGAAATAATTATTTAATGAACATTTTTGCATCAAACTACACATGCAGGTATACATTAATGGAGAAGAAAACATGCATTAATGCATAGATTCTAGTGACCATGCAAGCTTGTTGTACATTATTTTAATATGCGTGACTGATGGCGCAATGTTAAAACAGCTTAATGCCATGACACACCATAGCTTTATTATCAAAACTTGACTGTCAAATAACACCACACTAGCAAGTGGAAAGCATGGCAAAATGGTTTCATCCTACGAAAAATACAGAAAACTAAATGCAAAATAACTATTTCTCTCATGCAAGAAAAGCACTTACTAGTATGCACCTTTTTTTGTGCATTTACATCTACAGAAGCTGTAGGACTTACTAAAACACTCACTCTGTGGGCTTGGGCTTTAAACGCATCTTCATGCTCCAAAAGATTTTAATTATGCAAGAGAAAAAATGTGCATTAATCCTTTATTATCATCACTTCTGAATACAAGCAAGAAAATATAATATCATGGATTTGGACAAAAATGCCCACACTCTTTTAGACTTGAGAATTTTATACTGCCCCTACTTGCTCAATATGGATAGCAACGTATTTGTAATTGAGGAGTTGCTAGTTTGATCCTTGAGGCAAGACAGATTATGTCTGTGAACTGCTGTACTGGGACATTGGTCTATGGTCATTTGTCTCTCACTGCCGATTCAAAAATGGTATGGAAGTAGAAGAAGTTAACTAGCAGAGAAATTAGTGGTGATTACTGGTTTGTTATCTAGAAAAGCTGATTACATAGATCCGTCTTATTTTCAATCTAGTTAAAAGTAATTTAACTTTTAATGTTGATATTTTGTTGATTTTGTTTATTGTGACTTTTTATCTCTATAAAATTTGGTAGAGAATGTTAAATATTTTATTTATATTGTTATTTTTAGCCGAGAGTGCCCAAATCAACATGAATCTTGATGTAACAAAGCCATACACGTTCAGACAGACAGCTGACAGGCCATACACCGAACCCCCTGGTATTCCTAGAACCATACCCAAAGACACAAGTCAGGAAAATGCTGCAAAGATTCCGGCAACAGCACCAATGATTACTAGGTAAAATAAATAAATTCATTTCTTCTTTTTATGCCTACATTTGGTATGAAGTAATAATTTGTGCTATATTATTTAGCATCGGTGGGGTTAAATTATTTCTACCTTAATGTATAGCTTGAAAATTGAAATATGACCAATAATTGTATGGCATAAAAACCGATTTCTGTACAAACGAAAACATTTAAAAAAAACTCAGAAATGTTCAGTGTTGTGGAAATTAGGTGTCAAGAGTTAATAGGTGTAGAAAATATGTTATGATTATTACTTTGAAACCTGTTTTTTTGCATTTAATCCCACATATCTTTTATCAGAAAAAAATTTCATCTGATATTTAGCTTGACTGTACTATAAGAATAAGTAGAGCTATACTAGTCACTCGAGTGTCGGCGTAACCACTTATATTAAAGTTTTTGTAATACCTCAAATATTTTCAAAGTCCATTGACATATGGATTTGAAACTGCAGACTTGTTCACCATCATGACCCTAACCTGAAGACAGGAGGAGGTAACTGTATCAAGCATTTTGACAGAGTAATGTTCTCTTTTTGACTTAAATTTTTTGTACCAACTAGGATATTTTCATATTTCATTGACATCTGGCTTTGAAACTTGTTGAAATTTTATACACTTCTTTGTGAGCATAACTGGACTCTCTCCAAGGCCTATAACATGGATTTGTCAGCCCTTTTGTGAACTTATAAAATTTTACATTATCAAGGGTCTTTTACTATCAAGCACTTAGAATAGTCGAGTGTGCTGTCCTACTGACAGCTCTTAAAGTTTTCCCATTTTATCTATTTTTGTTTCTCTTTATTTTTTTTTCTTTCAGCTTGACAAAGCCATTAAGCCCTATTAAAAAGTTTATGCCACGTAGTGCACGTCCAGTGACACCAAAAGACGTATTCCTGTATCATTCCAAGAGAAATAAGAGCCTTATGGGACCAGGTAAGGATCTCTTCTTTTCTACAAATTTGAAAAAAATATTCCTGTTGTTTTTCTCCAAAGTGCTATGATTTTGAAGTGATTTCCAATTGTGTAATATTCACAGGCTTTTGTATATCTCTTTCCTGTGCACAAACATTCAAACAAAACTTTTTGGGTGAAGGAAAGGTGATTTCTTCTTACAAAAATCTTGCATCATTATATTTTGATGATTTCCATACACTTTTTAAAGTGCACCTTTTTGTCCCTACCCTGGTTCCTAAATTCCTAACCACTTTTTAATTATTGCGTTAAAGATTACCTTGCATACCTACAGAAGTTTGTTGGTTCTAAATTGTTTTCCACTTGCATTAACATGGACCTTAAAATATTCATCTCTTATGTGGCCTGGCCGCTATGTAAAGCTTGCACGACACTGATAAAGATTGTGGCAGGCTGGGGTGTCTATTATTAGACAAGGATTAATTGAGGATTATTTCCAGTAGTCTCTTACCTCAGAATATTAAACGTTGAAACCTTTGCTTGATTATTTAAAAAAAAAGGACTTTAATTTTATGTAAGAGTCTATTTTGGGTTAGAACTAATTTATTTACATTGTCAAACTATGTCACAGTTTTTGGATTCAATGTTCAGTTTTGGTGGCAATTTCTGCTATAGCTTTAAAGAGGAACCATTTAACATTGTCATTTTAAAATTTCCCTTTGAGGGTCTGACAAATGACAATCTAAGGGTGCTGTTTTTTACTGTACCCAAATAAGCGGCTAGACTTTAATTGAACATGAGATAAAGAATATCTAAAGATGTATCACCACTTTGGAATCTGCAAAATATCGTCAAAGCATAATTAACCTTGACCCATGATTGAAAATTAGGCAAAGTTCCAATTGAAACTTTGATGAGAATGACTTGTTTAAAAAGTGACTTATTTTTACCCAGAATCCCTGAAAGGGTCGGAACACGGTAAGTTATTGCACGTAGTAATCATAGATAACATCTGCGTAACGCTCTTCTCCCAAAACCCCAGATCCTTATCCGTCTTTATTTCACATTTTTCCTAACAGAGTCTTCTACATGTATATCAATTAATAATTGATTAATGAATTTTAAAATTCCTAAAAATAATCATTTTATTATATGTAACGTGAATGTGCACAGCAATTAAACTTGAATCAAAACATGTGATGTATTTTGTCTTTTTTGTTAATGTGTATTAAAAGCAACTTGGGAAATTCTTAGATATTTTCTATTAAATAGAAGCATTATGACTGTGTAAGTTAATCGTTTTGGGTAGCTGAAAAAAAAATCACCGAAATTATGCTGTATTGTAATATGATGTATATTTTAAGTTATTTGGATTATACAATTTTATGAAAATAGAATAAATACAATTTTAAGTAATCATAATAATTATATATGAAAGAAAAGAATTCTGTTGAGGAATATGTGAATGGAAAAAAAATAATGGATTTCTGCTTTGTAGTTTTACAGTAAGTTTTGCTAATCTCCTGTCTTGACTCGAAAATGTGTGTTTTTTTTAAAAAAAAAAATATATATGCATGCAAATACTGATCAGCTTCGAAGTAGTAGTTTTGTTTAAATTGTGTAGTTTTTTTTACTCCGATATGAAGTGGCTCTTAAAGCATGTTATTCCCATAAAATATATAAAAATATTATACGTATATTTATTTTCTCATTAAAAAAAATTTGATGTCAATAATACAATGACTTGATTTGCAGGCATTTTATTGGACCAGAATTTAATCATCATTGAATTTTACCCCCTTCTTTTGTAACAAACTTGACATGCTTGAATTTGGAATTAATTGTCAAGTATAGGTTATAGGAAATTTCTGTCAAAATATTAATATTAAAAGCAGTTTGTATATCTATCTGGTCAGACTGGACATAGACTCTGATGGCTTTTTTGGAAAGCTTTTTATGGCAGTTGGTGCCCCTTAAAACCTACTTTTACCGTAAATGGTAAGCTTTTGCCACCGGTATACAGAGCCTTGCAGTCTGACTATTCTCTATACAGTGTTGGAAGCTCAAATTTATCTTGACTATTTTAGGAATTATGAGATATAGCTATTGTATTCACCAAGGTGTTGAATTTGTCGTCATACTTTGGTTAAGTTTTTGCATGCAAGTTTGTGCTTTTAAACTGCTTAAAGGGAATGAATTGAAATATTACTCACTTTTGTTAGAGTATGAGGCACATAACTCTAGAGATGGATTTTGACAGAGTTATGACCCATTTTGAACGGAGAAAATTCTACATTTATCAAGGCCTTTGTTATACTATCAAACACTGAGAATAGTGGAGCATGTTGTCCTACCGACAATTACTGTTGCATTTCTTGTATCTACATGTAGTATTTAAAAAAACCTTAAACTTTAATGGGACTGGTCCAAATTCAAAGCAGGGCAAATCCAGTAGGCAAATACAAGAGGCTATAAGTTAAGCATTCCCATTGTTTTTTAAAGTCATATGAGTAAAGTGAAGGTTTCTTTCCAAAGTATATTTCTTACAGATAAGCTGAATTGTGTATTCCTTGATATTTTTGTTTATTGTTCAATATTCTATTGCCAGACCTGTCCTGAAAGTAGGAAGCAGTCGAGGATATTTCAGTAATATTATTAAATTGTTGATAAAAGTCTAAGAGATGGATATTTGTATTTTTTGTTTTTCAACGAATTTAATTTTCCCCTTTTGTATGGCTAGAGAAATTGCATAGTTTGAAGCTGCATGCCTCCAGATGAGCCAAAATATTTCAGAAAGATCTTATTTGAGAAAAATGTACTTAGATTTTAAGAAAAGTAAAAAAAAAAATCAAGATTTAAGTGATAATTTACATGTAATGTGTGATTAAAGACTAATTTTGCAGTATTTATCACCATATTTCTACTGCGTGACTAACACAGTGTTCTGCTGTGCGGCTAATTACATAGTAAGGGCTATTTTTGCATATTTTGACCTCTTTTTGGTAATTTACATTTATTGTGAGTGCCATTTGCAATGTGTTAATTACTTTTTATGTTCACTTCACAATATTTAACTTTTAAATACATTTTCAAAATTTTCATGAAAATTAGCATGAATCTGGAGGCGTGTGGCATTAAGGCAAATACCTGTTATGACAATAATAATCTTTTAATCATTAATCTTTATGAACTAGGTTATATATATCAAATCTTTTATTGATTTTTGCATTAAGTTTAAATCTGTTTTAATGTTTAAACTTTACCTAATGAACTTTTGAATTCTTGTTAAATTTCGTACATGCCATTAAACTAGATTAATGACATTTTACTTATAAAGGTTTCAATACATAGTACAACCTTCATATTGCTAAATTTGGAAAAAAAATGGACTTGCCATGATTTCAATTAAGGACTGTCCATTGATGATTTAAGGGGGTGTTCAGGATCATAGTTTTTAACCCATAATCTGCTAGAGCCTTTGCCACCAGTATAGAGCAAAGCCTTGGCCTGCACATCCATGCAGTCTGACCAGACTCTATACTGTTGGCAGCTCAATTTTTGTATTTCGATATTGAAATCTTCTGAACTCTGGACTGTTTCAAATTCATAACTGGACAGATGTATTTTAGAAATACAAATTGTATAGTAGGTTTAAATTATGTTAAGAAGCAGCCATTGATCAATTAAACTAGAGTCTGGGCAGATTTCAACAATACTGCCCCATGTGCCCTGACTCAAGTCATTATTATTATTAATTCTTCGACTGTTAAACAATATTGTTTAAAATGAATGTTTATTTCAACCCCTCAATTTATATGTTTCAGAAATTCTAGAATACAATATTAAATATTTCCTCTCTATTATTTTGTTATTTCAGACCCTTTTTGTTTAGCCCTTTTGTTGAACTTGATTTTTTTTCCTCTTATCAAAAGGTAATTAATATTATTATTAAAGTAGAAAAAAAATTGTACATTGTATATTGGCGCAATTAGATGGATTTTAGATAATTGTACTCTCTCATTAGATTATTTATATATTTTGTAGATGGTACATGTATTATATATTAGATTGCTTATACAGTAAACTCCACTTACATCGATATCGCAGATAACGATATGCCACTAATTAATAACGATGCTGTTGCCACAGCCCCAACTATTGTTTTCAAATAAGTTGCCTATCTGATATAACAATATCCTGATGTAAGAACATAAATTCAGCAGTCCCCTGAATACTGTTATAAGAGGAGTTTACAGTATTTGAAAAATAAGGTGGTAACATTATTTATAATAATTTGGTATTTGTTTATTAACTCCCCTGTTAGTATGTGTACACAGTGTTGCTTTAAGAACAACAACAAAAACAACAACAACAACAAAAATTAAGGTGACTTAAATGCATGTTGATTGATTTAGGGGGAAACATTTGCAATTTTTTTGTTAAACTAATGTCTTTTCACAAACAAGCAACCATGATTGTTTTTTTAGCTCACCTGTCACAAAGTGACAGGGTGAGCTTTTGTGATCGCTTTTCGTCCGTCGTCCGTCCGTCGTTCGTCCGTCGTCCGTCCGTAAACTTTTACTTAAAATAACATCTCCTCATAAACCACTAAGCCAATTTCATCCAAACTTTACAGGAATGTTCCTTTGGTGGTCACCTTTTAAAATTGTTCAAAGAATTTAATTCCATGCAGAACTCTGGTTGCCATGGCAACCAAAAGAAAAATCTTTAAATATCTTCTTTTCAAAAACCATAAGAGGTAGAGCTTAGATATTTGGCATGAAACATCTTCTAGTGAGTGTCTACCAAGTTTGTTCAAATAAAAGCCCTGGGGTCAAAATTGGCCCCGCCCGAGGGGGTCATTGATTTTCCCTATATGCATATAGTAAAAACTTAAAAAATCTTCTTTTAAAGAACCCAAAGAGCTAGAGCTAAGATATTTAGCATGAAACATGTTCTAATAGGTGTCTACCAAGTTTGTTCAAATAAAAGCCCTGGGGTCAAAATTGGCCCCGCCCCGGGGGGGTCATTGATTTTCCCTATCTGCATATAGTAAAAACTTAAAAAATCTTCTTTGAAAGAACTGAAAGAGCTATGGCTAAGATATTGAGCATCAAACATGTTCTAATAGGTGTGTACCAAGTTTGTTCAAATAAAAGCCCTGGGGTTAAAATTGGCCCTGCCCCGGGGGTCATTGATTTTCCCTATATGCATATAGTAAAAACTTAAAAAATGTTCATTTAAAGAAATCAAAGAGCTATGGCTAAGATATTTAGCATCAAATTTGTTCTAATAGGTGTCTACCAAGTTTGTTCAAATAAAAGCCCTGGGGTCAAAATTGGCCCTGCCCCAGGGGTCATTGATTTTCCCTATATGCATATAGTAAAAACTTAAAAAATCTTCTTTTAAAGATCCAAAAGAGTTAGAGCTAAGATATTTGGCATGAAACATGTTCTAATAAGTGTCTACCAAGTTTGTTCAAATAAAAGCCCTGGGGTTAAAATTGGCCAAAAAAACCCAAATAGCTAGAGTTAAGATATTCAGCATGAAACATCTTTTAGTGAGTGTCTACAAAGTTTGCTCAAATAAAAGACCTGGGGTCAAAATTGGCCCCTCCCCGGGGGTCATTGATTTTCTTTATAATGTGTATAGCAAAAACTTAAAATCTTCTTTGAAAAAACCCAAATAGCTAGAGTTTAGATATTAAGCATGAAACATCTTCTAGTAAGTATCTACAAAGTTTGTTCAAATAAAAGCCCTGGGGTCAAAACTGGCCCGGCCCCAGGGGTGTCATTGTTTTTAACTATATGTGTATAGTAAAAACTTTAAAAAAATCTTCTTTTAAAAAGCCCAATGAGCTAGAGCTTAGATGTTTAGCATGAAACATCTTCTTATGGGTGTCTACCAAGATTGTGCAAATAAAAGCCCTTGGGTTAAATTGGCCCTGCAACGTTGGGGGGGGGGGGGGGGGTCGGCCTTTATACAGGTGAGCGACCTCAGGCCCTCTTGTTTTGAAGTTTTGCTAGTACAGAAATAGATATTGAACATAGAAAGTGGTTTTCCATCTTATTTTGGCTGCTTATATGCTCATTTTCTATTATTTGGCATGTATACTACTGAATCATGGAGAATAATGGCACCCATTCTAGCTAGTTATACAAAATGCCTCGCAGAAAATACTATCTAGAGTATAATTATAATTTAAGCCAAAAGAGCTGTAATAATTGGCAACAGAAGCTAAATTATATGAAATTTTATTTAATGAAACTATGGAGTTAGCCAGAACAAAGTTGAATTTTAAAGGCACATTGCATCTAGGAAATCCATATATTTTTTAATTCTTTAGAAATGTTAAACATGTATTTAATATGTTTAAATAACGGGTTAAGTGCACATACAGAGGTTTTACAATTGAAAAAGTGACGCTGATTATGTGCAGTTATGTGTCATAAAGGTAGCAATTTAAATGTAAACAAAGTATACAAAATACTAATTAACTATTATCAAATTATACTAATTGCCAACAGAACTACAAATGCAAAAGATATAAGTTCATGCATATAGCAAATGAGTCTATTTTTGGAAACTACAGCAAGATACTAAAATTAAACAATTTTTGAGAAATAAAAAAAGATAACATTTCTGAGGCATAATGGGCCTTTAAGGGAAAAAATATTTGAATTATGCTGAAATCCTGCATTCTAATGTGCCCTTAAAGCAACACTGTGACAAACACATGATTCAAGTTATTACACCCTCCACATGCAACGCTTAAAAACACAATAGTTTAAATAGGTGTACACATTATTATTAGAGATACCCTTTCATACAAATTATTTAAAGACTCCAAAAAAAACAAGTATGTGTTTACTAAAAAAACAAGTATGTGTTTACTGCTCGCCCATATGGTTTCTTTCCAGTGGCGAGGGTAAACAAACCCAAACACACCCATATGTGTTCACAATACTGAAAGACTTTCGCCTATAAGAATCTTTAAGACACAGTTAGACACACTTCTTTAAGTATGTGTACACACAATAATTAAAAGCAACCCCTTCTTAGTTCTATGCACAGGGAAATCTGTCATAATTTTATTAAATTTATATATATGCATAGTGGGAAAGGGAAAAAAATGACAGAATCCCCTGTGGTTCTATGCACATAATGTATCTTTAGTCGCAGCACTTTAAGAAATCAAACTTGAAATAATTGAATGTAGTTTATGTTAAATACTTGAAGATTACATTTATTCTGGCAATATTAACACTTATTGCTCTGGCAGTAAGGTAGTCTTATTGTAATGCATTTCCGCCAAACAAATTCTAACATCGGCCAATATTGTAGCAAATCGGTTATTTCTGGAACATTATTTTTTCAAAATCTTGGGCATCAGATTATTTAATTACAATCACTCATCCTTAATCACTTTGTATTAAATTCTTGTTATAAATGTTTTGCAAATTATTGAAATCCGAAGATCATGAATAATAATGTTCTGGAAATGACCGATTTATTACGATACATGTATGGGCCGATGTTAGATTTTTTTTGGCGGGAAAGCATAATTTACAGTGTAAAGACTACCTTTAAATTACGTACATTCCCTGAAATGTAACTGAAAAAGCCGGGTATTTCTTAGAAATTGTTATGTTTTATTTCATATTATATTATTTACAGGTTCTCAACATAGGCTTGTTGGGCCTGTGTCAATTCACCATTTCCATGGTCAGTTATAAATGTACATTGTACTTGTGAACCTAATTTATTTGTCCCATTTAGTTGCTCGTTCAATCAAGGTGCTTTTACCACTTAACGTTTTGTGATCTGTGTTGGGCAGAAAACCAATACAAAAGACAGTCCCCGTTTTATTTTCTGCCATAACTTTCTTAATATTTAAATATTTTTCATGGAATACAATGTAGAGACCCACATTTTAGTATGGAACCCATACATTATATATAATAATTCCAGGGAAAAAATGTTTTTTTCTTTTTGACAAGTGGAGTTGTGTAATTAGTCATGATCTGACTGTTCATTTACACACTTCCCGTTAAAAATGCTGATGGTTTTCCCTGAAAAAATAAAATAAGAGTGTTAATTCTACACTTTGTCCAATTAGAAGTAAGCAAATTTTGAAGAGTTGTAGAAAAAATAAAACCTGGATACCTTTTGTGGGCCCATACAGATCATCAAATGTCACACGGTTTAGGCAGCGAGCTAATATAATCTTTAAATTTTATTGTTTTCACGGTCAGATTTCTTCTTATGAGTATAAATTTCTTTTTTGTTTTCTATCAATAAGGTCATACACCATAAGTCAGATTCTTGAGATCATAATAATGCAGTAGTATAATTTAGTTCAGAGTTAATTTTGAACAGGCTAAGTGATAAAAATGTTACATATAATGGCTGAAATTGTATTTTTTTTTATTTATGATAATTATGACTTTTAATTTGTAAAAACTAAATGGGATAAATAGTTTGTTAGTTTAGAAAGTTTGTGTCATTTTCTAATAAATGGTTAATAAAGATCGGGCTTTCCATCGGCTATTTCATTACACATTTAAAACAAGGTGATCTTTTTTGTTCATTTTGCAGACATGCTATTTCTATATGCAGTATTTTATTTCAGAGTTAATTAATACATGTTAAGTTAATGGGGTCTTTTTTTGTCTAACTTTGCTTCATTGAAATATTTACACAAATTAAAATATCTGATGTTAAATGCGCTGTCATTTTATAAAGTTTTATAACAATGCAAATAAATTTCTTGAATTCTGATTGACTTAAACACTTTATATGTGTGCATTAAATTTATCATTGCGTTTTGTTCTTAATGGCATATTTCTCGATTCAAATGTCATAACTTTACACTTAAACAAGTTGCTGAAGGCTCATGATTATTTATCTCATTCTATTCAATCGTATATCCGGTCAGCAACTCGTACATTGTATATCTGGTCAGCAACTTGTATATCTGGTCAGCAACTGGTATATCCGGTCAGCAACTGGTATATCCGGTCAGCAACTGGTATATCCGGTCAGCAACTCGTATATCCTGTCAGCAACTCGTATATCCGGTCAGCAACTGGTATATATATCCGGTCAGCAACTTGTATATCCGGCCAGCAACTGGTATATCTGGTCAGCAACTGGTATATATATCCGGTCAGCAACTGGTATATCCGGTCAGCAACTGGTATATCTGGTCAGCAACTGGTATATCCGGTCAGCAACTGGTATATCCGGTCAGCAACTGGTATATCCGGTCAGCAACTGGTATATCTGGTCAGCAACTGGTATATCTGGTCAGCAACTGGTATATCCGGTCAGCAACTGGTATATCCGGTCAGCAACTGGTATATCCGGTCAGCAACTGGTATATTCGGTCAGCAACTGGTATATATATCCGGTCAGCAACTGGTATATCTGGTCAGCAACTCGTATATCTGGTCAGCAACTGGTATATATATCCGGTCAGCAACTTGTATATCCGGTCAGCAACTTGTATATCCGGTCAGCAACTGGTATATCCGGTCAGCAACTCGTATATCCGGTCAGCAACTGGTATATCTGGTCAGCAACTGGTATATATATCCGGTCAGCAACTGGTATATCCGGTCAGCAACTGGTATATCTGGTCAGCAACTGGTATATATATCCGGTCAGCAACTTGTATATCTGGTCAGCAACTGGTATATCTGGTCAGCAACTGGTATATCCGGTCAGCAACTGGTATATCTGGTCAGCAACTGGTATATCCGGTCAGCAACTCATATATCCGGTCAGCAACTGGTATATCCAGTCAGCAACTCATATATCTGGTCAGCAACTCGTATATCTGGTCAGCAACTGGTATATATATCCGGTCAGCAACTGGTATATCTGGTCAGCAACTCGTATATCTGGTCAGCAACTGGTATATATATCCGGTCAGCAACTGGTATATCTGGTCAGCAACTGGTATATCCGGTCAGCAACTTGTATATCCGGTCAGCAACTCGTATATCCGGTCAGCAACTCGTATATCCGGTCATCAACTGGTATATCCGGTCAGCAACTGGTATATCCGGTCAGCAACTGGTATATCCGGTCAGCAACTTGTATATCCGGTCAGCAACTCGTATATCCGGTCAGCAAGTCGTATAACTACATTGCTCTCACGTATGACATCCGAACTGGTTTATTTTTAGTTCCAAATGTAATCAAATCAATATACGTTAAAGCTGTCATTAAGTGTCAAGCACATGTATGATATATTAATATTGGATGAGATATATTGATTATACAATGATATATTTGTATTATAATCTATAATTATTTGTTTTATTTTTTTGTCTAATTCACTCTTGTATATCTTATTAAACATGTTAGACATCACATGGTGACAGCTCTAATATACGTTTTTACAAGAACTGGGTTATTAGAAAATAAATCTTAAACAAATGTGTCTAAAAAAATACAAATTCAAAAAGTTAAATTGAAAGTTTTTTTTTTTCAGGTATGAATCTTTTTTTATCATTCAAACAGGTGTTTGCTATCAGTCATATACATTTTTTAAAATTTTCCCTAGAAAGTATAAATTTAATGGGTTTTTTCCGGATAAAAAGATGAACAAATCCATTTAAGATAATGTAGTGTAATAACTATTAATAACACATAAAAACATACAGGGTATTAAAATGTTGGTCCATATTATATTTTCAATCCATTATTGATTCAATTGAATGTGCAGTTGATCGATATATAAAGGAAACTTTAAATATTAACCAAATTAATACAAAAAAATCTGCATGTGGCCTTCTATAATATTAATTTTTTTATAAAGTGAAGTTTTAATATTACAATCATATAGACAAACTTTGTGAGGTTATTTTTACAGCCATTGAATTTTTTGCTAAAGCTGAAAAGAAAAAAAAGTATTAATGTTATTGATATACGGGAAAAGGATTTTCTTTTAAGTTAGATTATCTTAGCATTTATTTATATTGTACTTTTCTTTCTAATACATATGTACAAGGCAATAAGATTTAGTGCAAGAAAAAAGTTTAAGATGTATTCCTTAATAATAATGATATCATATTTCAAACATTTTATCTTGTATAATTAAATAATTATTGTAAAGATAAAAAATTTATTGTTCAAAATTATTAAGTGCCTGTAGATGATATATTAGCTAACATTTTAGCTGCTTTAGCTAGTGTTTAAAATTCTTTAGCATTCTTGAAGATCTTAGATTTTTTTCTGCAGATAATTGGGTTGGTCCTGCAAGATCTTTGCCTTTATTTTAAGATCTTTTGCTTTCTTTTTTATCTTTAGCTTAATAATTATTGTCTTATTAGCTTAACCCTTTAAAGAACTTTGGCTACTTTTAAAAGATATTTTACATCTTTTTAAAGTTTTATTGAAATATTAACACAGAGTAAGGGTGGATTAGCTTATCATAGCTTTGTGGCATGGTACTTAAATTGCATGGACTGTAATTGATATGCATGCTTTTTATGATGATTTTAGAAAAAGTTTTCTTGCAAAGCAGACTGGCGTTTCTGTGAGTTTTACCCATGCCGGAAATTTCATCTGGCATGGGGGATGCCAGATGAATCGCGTGCCATACAACAACGTCAATTTTGTGCATTTTATGAATGAACTGTGTTAAAATCGCATCACTTTAGAAGGGAATTATGTGCTTAGGATGATGTCATTTCACTGTTGTTATTAGGGTTGTAAATTCATATGCTATTGTAAGGAAATAGTTATGGATAAAATGACTTTAATTTCCATGAACAAATATCTAATTGAGGTAAACCATTTTAAATATGAAGTAATATGGCAGAATATGCAAGAAAAAATATCTGACATATGTTTGCGGTTCGGATCGGAATATTTGTTTCTCAGGAACCCGCCCATGGTTTGTAACTTGGCAAGCCTCGTTACTGCCCAATGGGCGGGGTCTCCTTGGGACGAATATTCCGTTCTGAATCAGAACATATGACAGATATTATTTTCTGATACATGTAATTAGAAAAGAATATTCATCTTAGATAACAAGACATTCCTTTTGCTTACTTTCTTTAAAGGAATAAGAATATTTTAACACAACAATCTCTGGAATGTTACTCTGCCAAAGTAACAGCTTGATTCTTTTTAGTTTTAGAAGTTTTTAATGTTTGAATAAATAGTCATTTTAAGCAAAATTTTATTGCATTGTGATTTCATCATTGAAAGTTATTTTCTGTCATTAGAGCCAGATATGTATAGAATCTGAATATATAACTATACAAGAATTTGATAAAGATCTTTTTCAAAACAATTTCACTTTCGGTTGAAAAAATGTATTAGATTAATTTGTATTTATTTACAATAATAAAGATGTGCTGCTTAGATGTTTGGGAATGGACTGGGAGTTACATCGACCTTTCTTGCGCAAGTCTGAGACCCTGACAGCATTATTGCAAGGGGCTGATGACCCACGACCCCAGCTGTACTACAAGAGTCCAGCATCTGAAACTTTGGACAATTACATCAAGAAAAGTAACTTCTACAGGTAACTTTGTTATACCCTAACAGAATTAAAGTTCGACAAACCTTTAAAAAGGTTACCTGTACCAGTTTCATGTTCAGCTAGTAAAGTTTTAAACAACATATTCAAAAACTATTAATTTCAATGAATTTCTCCCATTGTATATAGCAATTTATTGAATGACTGTAGAAAGACAAAGGATCAATTTATGGGTATAAGCTGTCAATTTAGCTGACATCAGATTGCTGATTCTACTCTAGGTACCAGCTGATGCTATAATGTATAAAATGCACCTGAGGTATTCATCCACCAGTAAAGTTGTAAATGCATTTATAGTATTGGTGTAATTTGAAATCCCAACCAAAAAAAAAAAAAAAAAATTAAAATGAAGCAAGAATAAAACGAATGAATAAATTGAAAGGCAAGAGTGTTAGTGAAGACCCTCTGATTCAAATGTGTTACATGCAATTTCACTATTTGTATAGGGGATATTGACTAAAGAGTGTCTTAGATATTTGGCATATTTTTTAATTTAAAGAATGCTATTTTTTTATCTGGCCTAAAAAAAATAATACAAATTTGATTCAAGAAAGGCTAATCTGCTATAATTATTGAAGAGTCTCTTCTGAATTGCTTCCCTTAGTCTAAACTGCTGTAGTTTATACTAATTTATTATGTCAGAAAGCATTTATTTAAAGTGATCAAAATCTAGTTAACAAATCAGAATGTGAATGTAGGAGATATTTTTAACAAATCAGAATGCATTTATTTACAGTTACCAAATATTTTTAACCAATCAGAATGTAGTCTTTTAATCATCAAAATATATTTAACCAATCAGAATGTATATTGTATTTGTTTATAGTTACCAAATATTTTTAACCAATCAGAATGTATTTACAGTAACCAAATATTTTTAACCAATTAGAATGCACTTATTTATAAAGATAGCTATCAAAATATTTTGAACCAATCAAAATGTATTTATTTATAGTAATCAAATATATTTTACCAATTAGAATGTATTTATTAAAGTAATTGAAATGTTATTATTTAACCAATCAGAATGCATTTATTTATAGTTACCAAATATATTTAACTAATCAGAATGTATTTATTTATAGTAATGAGTATAGGGAGATGTCAAACAGACTGAGTACAGTAGAAGGGCTTGAGATACAGGATGTGAAAGATCTTGAATCTAAGAAGATTGATCACCCGTCACTTACGTCTGAGGGGCGTGTCAATAATGTCACACTCATACAGATGGACATACATGACCCATTTGTGACAAAAACTGGTAAACAAATTTATTATATACCTTTGATCTGCAACCAAATAATTCCGTATGTGTACAGTATATATTATTAGTTATAAAGATTCTTTACATGTTATATGACCCTAATTATAAACGATTGTTTGGAAATATATATTGCAAACAACTGTTTATATACAGCCATAATAATCTGTCAGAAATATTTATAATGAATTTATAATACAGCATGCATCTTTCTATAAAGAAAAAAATGAGATTTCTTCATAAATTGACAGCAGCAGTGTATATAAAACTATATAAACATCTTTATAATCCAGTGAAAGGCGATGTTGCAAATGTGCTGCATTATAAGTAAGTAATTTACTGACATGCTGCCTTTATGCTTATATAATTGATAAGTATTATTTTTGTTTGCCAAGAACAACAGCACTAATTTGTCACCTTAGTGCAATAACTGGTTAACTCTTATTAAATTTAGAAGGACTTAACCCATTTCTGCACTAAGGTGGCAACTTATTTTTCTATATGGTGACTTAATTGTTCATTTTATAAGATGTTGCCTGATTTGATAAAATCAGAAAATTTAATTGTAAAAAAAAAAGTTATTCCTAGATTATAACATGGGTTGTAAACATGTTCTGGTTTTTTCTTCATCATTTCTGGTTCAAATTTTCTAATCTCTAATTTACAAAAGCTGCAAAACTTTACCCTCTTATTTCTATTTGCTTGTTTCATTACACCGTGTTCATTTTTTGCACTGGCAAAAACTTATGTTTTACTGATTTTTTTCATGTCATTATGATTATAAAAACATATAATGGAAAATGTGTTTACAACAGTAATCAAATGTAGTTTTTCTAGTCATAATTGTGCAAAGAAAACTTGATTTATTCTTCTTTATAAATATCTTTATTATTTCACACTGCCTGGGGGATGTTTCTGTTTTATATTAATCAAGATTTTCCATAAAATGAAGGTTATTTAGTAATGAATAATAATTACATTTCTAGGAATGGCAATCGCCCTTGGCAACATGTATCATGATGAAATTGATGTGGATAATGAAAGACTAGCAGAGGTTCTCGCAGCTGCATGCATCTTACAGTTTAAGGCACTAATTAAAGGGTAATTTGTATAAATAATTGACATAGTATTGTTTCAACAAGATTATATTTCATTTTTGGTTTAATTCAAATAATTTATTTCTAATTACATAGAAAACCTAGTGATTCTTTAAAGGACATGGGTCATATGAACTTGTTTACCTGAATAACTCTGGAGAAAATGTAAACTTTCACGTACTTCACTTTTATGTAATTATATTTTTCTGGTCCTTTTAGATCATTAATTCTAGCACTATTACATGTTGAAAATTAAGTACCACTCAAGTTGCTGCTAGGGGATGTGAAGGATGTTGCACTTTTTCATTATTCCTCAAGTACAGACTCGGTCGAACAGAGTCTGCAATTTTCATGTAATTTTGATGTGATTCAAAATGCTTCCAAGGAATCATTCTTTCTCCAGATTTTTATGCCCCCACAGAGTGGGAGCATATAGCGTTGCACTTGTCCGTCCGAGTGTCAGTCCGTCAGTCCGTCAGTCCGTCCGTACGTCCCGAAATCTTGTGAACGCAACTCCTCTTAAACCGGATGGCAGATTTTGCTTAAACTTACAGGGATGAACAACCTTAATGTGTAGATGGTAGTAAAGGAAGGAATTTTCGCTGCGACCAAATTTAACAGAATTATGGCCCTTTGTTGATTTTTTCACTAGATACTATGAAGAAATTTTGTGAACGCAACTCCTCTTAAACCGCATGGCAGATTTTGCTCAAACTTACAGGGATGAACAACCTTAATGTGTAGATGGTAGTAAAGGAAGGAATTTTTGCTGCGACCAAATTTAACAGAATTATGGCCCTTTGTTGATTTTTTCACTATATACTATGTAGAAATTTTGTGAATGCAACTCCTCTTAAACCGCATGGCAGATTTTGCTTAAACTTACAGGGATGAACAACCTTAAGGTAAGGATGGTAGTAAAGGAAGGAATTTTTGCTGCGACCAAACTTTACAGAATTATGGCCCTTTGTTGATTTTTTCAATATATACTATATAGAAATTTTGTGAATGCAACTCCTCTTAAACCGGATGGCAGATTTTGCTTAAACTTCCAAGGATGAACAACCTTTATGTGTAGATGGCAGTAAAGGAAGGAATTTTCGCTGCAACCAAATTTAACAGAATTATGGCCCTTTGTTGTTTTTTTCATTATATACTATGTAGAAATTTTGTGATTGCAACTCCTCTTAAACCGGATGGCAGATTTTGCTTAAACTTCCAGGGATTAACAACCTTAATGTGTAGATGGTAGTAAAGGTAGGAATTTTTGCTGCGACCAAGTTTAACAGAATTATGGCCCTTTGTTGATTTTTAGTTTTCAACTTGTGGCACATGTAGTCCAAAAAATATTTGACCTAGAGTCATAAGATTGACAGAACAGTGGTGTGTGGGGGCATCCGTGTCCTATGGACACATTTCTAGTTTAATATAAATTGGGGGGGTGGGGGGGAAGGGTATTGATTAAGTCTTCGAGTCTATGTTATATTTCTTGTCCAAAATAATAATTTTATAATGCTGACTTTACATGGCCTCTGAAACTTGTTGTAATACTGTCCTTAATCACTTCAGTCTATACAGATCAGACCTCATGACTGTTGGTTTGAATCTTTCCAGGGACTTAGTAATTTTCCATGACAGCAAGCTTAGATATGCAGCTCTCTTATGGAATATTGATGGTTCTACCTGTGCATGTTTGTGCTTGAAATAATACAAGGAGGGGCACCTTAGGTCTTCCTCCATCAATAAAGCTGGGAAGTCCCCATATGATTTAGACGGTGTAGGTGTGAGTAAAACTTAAGAAAGGGAAAAAAAAACAAAAAACTTTTTCCACAAAATCTAAATATAAAAATACTTAACTGTCTGGTCTTAGATCCTATTTTCTGACTTTTATCTCCATATTAACAAAACTTTCATCTTGAAATATTTAACATAAAAAGATAAGTGTTTAAAAATGATGGTGAAAATTTTGTTTTTGTTTTTACTCAGGTGTACTAAATTGATGCTAAAGAACATCAACAATCAAACTGTGTGCAAGTACCATGCTGTTGCCTCAAAGGTAATTATCCCATACCATGTTAAATTTCTTAAATATACTTTGTTTGTCTTTTAATCTGGACTAAACGGTTCATCAGTTTGAGGTAAAACTACAAATAATCTTATGGATATTTTCTGTTTTAAATGTGCCAGTTGATCTATGTGAGAATTTCAAATTTTATAATGTAAGGCTTTTGGGTCTCAGTTGAGTTCTTTTTATGTAAAAGCACTTTGCAGAAAATTTTCAACTTGTTACCTTAACAAGTTGTAAACTTACTGCAAAGTGCTTTTATATAAAAAACCATCAAAAGCTTGTAATTTAACTTAGATGTTTAATTGAAGGTCATTGTTTGAATCCTATGTACAAGGTTCTTGGTCACAATGATTTAGTAAATTTGTATTTCATCTTTACTTAGCTTAATTTCTTATATCAGACAGTTGATTATCAATTTAGAGATTTCAAGATGGAAATTTAAAGCTTGTCAGCAAACAGTTTAGAGCCTGATCAGATCTCGTCTGCACAGATGTACAGGCTATGTTATATTTCTTGTCCAAAATTATAATTGTTATAATGCTGACTTTACACGGCCTCTGGCTGTATACTGATGGCAGTGGTTTCCAAGCAAGGAAAGGGTTTAAAACAATCCGGAATAAACTAGTTTAGTGAAAGAATAGACTTTTGTATTTGTGGCGGTAACTTTGTAAAAGGTAACCTGTTCAGAGATTTTAACACAGAACCTGCTAGAACCAAAACAGGTTAGCCTATGCCACCAGTGCAGAGCCAGGCCAGTCTGCTCTTTCAAACTTCAAATTTTCATCTTGATATCCCCAAAAATGATAATCGACAGTTCCAAAATGAACGCTGGACAAGTCCATTTAAGAAATTCAACTGGTTCAGGATTCAAAATGGCAAAATCATTAATGTATAACCTTAGAGCATTCCTTTGTTTGGAGTACCACAGAATCTCTTGATTTCAGATTCTATGACACTAAAGCTAAACTTTTTATAGAAAACCAATCCCCCATTGTGTGACATTTAATTATCTGTCTGGAATAGTTATTATTTCTGTTGATTTCTTATGTGCAAGAAATGATACAGATTATATTATGGAAGGTGTTGTTTATATGCTTCTCTCATAAATCATAGGATTGTTCCCAGACAGACATTACAGCCAAACTTGCAATTTTTCGATTACAAGGGTAATGTAGGTCTCTGCTGTTATTAAGATAGGAATAACTAGCACGCAAAATGAGACAAAAATACTTTCTAGGTGTGCTCATATTAGACTGTGATGAAAAAAAATAGAAACTTATATAAGTTACCTAAAATAACCATTGCTGAGAAAAAATGATGTATGGCTTGACAGTTGAATTATATCATTTTATTATCATCTTGTCAGATAAAAGTGAAAACAGTGTTTTTGCATTAGCCAAATATATTGAAAATGAATTCTTTTATTGAAAAAGCACAGACACTTTTCAATCGTGATTGAAAATAACTTATGTACTTTAAAAAAAATTGTTGAATATTTATAGTAATATGCTATATCTTTAAGGCCAATTGTACCTCAGAAATCTTCCAATTTTCAATTTCCAAATGCTTTTTATTTTTGGTATCCTATTAATGATTGTCAAAATGTTACTTATTAAACCTCCCTATCTTTGATTATTTTGCTTTTGGCAATCAGGGCAATAATAGTGATTAACTATATGTATGGAAGTCAAAATACTACTTTGTTTACATTTTTCTATTCAATGCTATTTTCCTCGGGTGATAAGCATCTAATGTTAGTGGTCTTAAACCATTATTAGTCCCCTACCGGTTTAACCGGAGGGGACTTTAGGTTTACCCTCCGTCCGTCTGTCTGTCTGTCTGTCTGTCCGTCTGTCTGTCTGTCTGTCTGTCAGTCTGTCAGTCCGTCAGTCCGTCCGTCCACAAAACTGGATCCCGCGATAACGCAAAAAGTACTGAAAATATTTTTATGAAACTTGATATATGGATAGATGGCAGTATGGAGATTATGCACGTCTTTTTTTTTTTCTTCCTATGTTGAAAAATTCTGGTTGCTATGGCAACAAATAGTCTGAAAATATGGCAAATTTAACACATAAACTGGATCCAGTGATAACTCAAAAAGTACTGAAAATATTTTTATGACACTTGAAATATGGGTAGATGGCAGTCTGGAGATTATGCACATCTTTTTTTTTTCTTCCTATGTTGAAAATTCTGGTTGCTATGGCAACAAATAGCCTGAATTTCAAGATTTCTGATTTAAATTTTCAGCTTTTTCACTATATGTTCTTTATTTCTTAAGGTGTTTACTTCAAACTTTAAATATAAGTTTCTGGTCATCAACCACATCATATGTGACAAGGTTTAAAACTCTAGCACAAAAAATATCAGTATTACCTCCCTTGAACTTAGATTTTTTAGGGGAAAAAATGTTGTCTTTTTTTAAATAACTTCTTTATTTCCTAATGTATCTACTTCAAACTTCATATATATGTTTCTTATTATCACTCGACATTTTTGAGAAGGTTAAATACTCTAGCAAGACTATTTCCAGAATTATGTCCCCCTTGAACTTAGATTTTTTTCGAGAAACTGGTATTTTCACTCCAACTTCTTCATTCCTTATAGGATTTACTTTAAAATCCCACATCGTAATAATATGACAAGGTTGTATAAACATAATTTCCTTACTAAGCATGGAAACTTAACACATTACTGTGATATAGACAAACTTATTTTATTATGTTTTGTGGTTGATATTTTCAAATACAGACTTCATCCTCAAATTCATTATAAATGGCAATACACAGGAGTGTATGACAATTAAAGAACTTTTTGAGGGACCGGTAGGGGACTACTGTATTGCCCGCAATACTATCAAATGCTTGTTTATTCTGAAACTCTTTTTTGTCTTTTCTAAAGAAGAACATATTTACTCGTTTCTGGGGCATAATTTGCCTTAAATGTAAATATTTATATATATATAATATGAGAGTTACATTGAATTATGATTGTACTTGATATTAATTGATAATTACAGAATACTAGTTAAAGTGCTACTTTATTGGATTTCAATTTCAGATTATATATTGTTATAGTTTATAACATGAAAAAGTGGTGTTATATTCATATGTTTATGACTAATTTGTATTTTGGGCTGGATACCTTATATTGCACATAAATAATTGCCATTGCCATTGTCATTGTCATATATGTTTTAAGCTTTCTAACATATGAAGAATGTTATCATTTCAGCATCAACAAGAGCATGTAGTTTTGGCCTGTGAGAGATGGTTGGAACTCAACTTGATACCAGATGTAAGTTGTTGCCTGGCAACAGGGTTGATGTTACATTTTCTAAATTTGACCTTTGACCTACTGGATGTCAGAAAATGATTAGCCTATGCTGCCAGTACAGAGCTGCACCAGCCTGCACATTCCTGAAGTCTGACCATGCTCTGAACTGTTGGTTGCTCTATTGTTGTATTAAATCCATGAATCCAGGGTTTAGAGCAAAACTGGTCTATGTGCTTCTATTTCTATATAAAGATGGAACAGTTTGCTCTAAGCCTTTGAAATTAGGGTATCCGATACACAAATTCAGCAAGTTTAAGGCTAGAAGTGAGTTGTTTTTTTAATAGATACTTACATTTTATTGTGTTTAAATTCTTACATACATTATCTAGATGGTGTAGCATCTTTCAAGCTTTTCTAAAGAAAGAAAAACCCCTGTGCCTATCAATGCATTCTGTTAGGTTTTTTCTTATAGAAGGCATCTGCCCTCTTTGCTCATTACGGAGAGCATGGATTTGTAATCTAGGGGTCCCTTGTGCAATCTTTGGGCAAGGCATAATTTATTTGTGACAATCGACCTTGGACATTGAGTCCAATGGACATTTGTCTTTCAACACTGATTCAGAAATCATATGGGATTAGAACTTGGTCAATTCCAGAAAAAATTGTAATTACTGGTTAATTGTCCAGAAAAGCATGGTAACTGTCAACAGACTAATCACATATGTGTTTAATTTGGCATGAAAACTAACCAAATAGACAGTTACATTTAGATCCATCAATATTCCATACAATTGCTGAATTTTATGGGTCCATTGTTAAGTAACTTGGGATATATATAAGATTAAAAATAATCTTCCCCTTTAAATGATTATATGTAATAAAAGTCAGATCATGTGATACTTGCCTCAGACAATGTAAATTGTGTAATTCTAGTGATTCTTTTGGGACGTGATACACGTCAGAAAAACATCGAGACAAAAATAAATACAAAATTGAGGTACATTTTTATTAACCTTCTGATTGTCATTTTCAGCTGTCGGAAAATATCCAGCTTCGTGAAATGCCGATGGAACTGCTGCAGAAAGTTGTAAAATCCAATCGTTTATTTGTCTTCAATGAAAAAAGTGTATATAGAACTCTAGCTTATTGGCTATTTATGCAGCTTAATCCACATCTACAGCTGATGCCCTCACATAGTACTGTACTTTCATACTTTAATAGGTAAGATAAACACATCACATGGATCTGCCAAATCATGCTCTGATATTATGTAAGATTGCCAGATCACATGGATCTGCCAAATCATGCTCTGATATTATGTAAGATTGCCAGATCACATGGATCTGCCAAATCATGCTCCGATATTATGTAAGATTGCCAGATCACATGGATCTGCCAAATCATGCTCTGATATTATGTAAGATTGCCAGATCACATGGATCTGCCAAATCATGCTTTGATATGCATGTAAGATTTCCAAATCTTATAGATTTGCCAAATCATTCTTTGATAATTATGTAAGATTCCCATATCACATGGATCTGCCAAATCATGCTTTGATATAATTGTAGTTCCCATATCACATATATCTGCTCTGATGCTCTGATTTATATGTAAGGTACCCACATTACACATAGATTTGCCAAATCCTGTTCCGATTTTCATTTTAGATTCCCACTTTACATGGATTTGCTAATCATGTTTTGATATATATTTAGGATTCCCCACACCACATGAATTTGCCTACATCATGCTTTTTATGTGCATTGTTGACAATGAAAACCTTACCATAGTAAGTTATGTTCTCTTACAAAGCAGTTTGTAAGAAAACTTTATTATAAGTGATGAGTATATTATATAGTAAATATAATATAGTAATATATTAGTTTGTTATCAGTTGCATATTCTTTCCTCACTTAAAAAGCAATATTCTGTAAAGATTACAATATTATTCCATAAATTTATTTTTCTAGTTTACCAAAGACAACCTCATTTATTGAGAGAGATGATGGTCAGATTTATTCACCCTTATTCTCAGCTGTACGACTTCATGGAATTTTAGACAGTAAGTATAAATCACACGGAGTAATCTGTCATATTCTGTCTGCAATGTTGTGGTCTTAATGTGGTGCGTCAAGATGGTATTCTTTCAAGATAAAAAACCTTCCGTAGCATTGAAGTATTATGTGGTAAATTGTAAAACCAGTTTCAGGTACATTCTTATGGTAGATTAAATTCCTCTTGTACAGGTAACAGTGAAAAGCTGAAAAAAACTGAGTTCAGTTTTCTAAGATACCACACCTTTCCCCTCCTGGGTCTATTTAATGACTTTTAAATTGCTAATTGTTGAATTTGGAAAAAAAAAACTATGGGCAACCTAGGCTTAATATTTAAAATTCTAGGTTACCCTGGCACTATACAAGCTATGGGAAAGTACCAATAAATGAGTAATTTCTCATATAGCATAATTTTACATTCAGGGCTACTTTTTCAGGTGTCAATCATATAACATGTTCTAAAACCATTATTTTATCATTTTAAGACTAACGGTTTCCTTTTCTCAAGAAGTAAATATTTCTTCATTCCTAAGACATAACGTGCCTCTGATATCTTTGATATCTATAACTTATTTATTGTCAGCCAGTCAAGCCACATTTCAGTGCTCTAAGGGGGGGGGGGGTAGTAAGTCTGTAAACAAAGTCTACACTTTACTACACAACTAATACAGTAATGAATAACTGATATAAAAAACTTAGAGGCATAATTATTCCAAGACATTCTCTCTTCTTTTATAATCTCCGAAAAAATTACTTATTTGCTTTTTGTTTGACATTTACCACAATGAGGTGACATCTCGGTTCTTTGTCTTGCTGGCAGACAATTTGGACCATTTATTATTCAGAACCTTTTTGTAAATGGATATTATGTTTCACTGTGACTGTTGACCCCCCTAGAGGGATTTTATGATACTTTAATGCAAGGAAATCTGAGAGAAGATGACCGTTGACATGTAATTATTCTTAGGTGATTTTCCTCTTTGCACAATAGTTGTCCTTTTCACGCTGACAGTTCAATATACTTTATACAATGTTTCTACTACTCAACACTATTGTATATTTACTGTCTTAGGATAAAATAGAAACATATTATTTGTTATTTATGAAAGTGATTATTGTTTACACATAGACGAAAAAAAGAGATATTATGTTGCAGGAAACGAAATTTTTTTAATATATTGAAATTAAATCTTTACCTATTTGCCTGGTTTCAATTATAAAACTCTATAGCCTTTTATTTGCTATTTGAATACAGACACTTTTGTATTATAAACTTATTATTTTCGCAGCGGGAAATATTCAAGATATGCAGCTGATGAATATATTGCCTAGAGAAAAGCTGATTGACCTTCTATCTCAACATTATCATGCTGTAAGTATATATAACCTTGACCTTCTATCTCAACATTATCATGCTGTAAGTATATATAACATTGACCTTCTATCTCAAAATAATCATGCTGTAAGTACATATAACCTTGACCTTCTATCTCAACATTATCATGCTGTAAGTATATATAACCTTGACCTTCTATCTCAACATTATCATGCTGTAAGTATATATAACATTGACCTTCTATCTCAACATTATCATGCTGTAAGTATATATAACCTTGACCTTCCATCTCAACATTGTCATGCTGTAAGTACATATAACCTTGACCTTCTATCTCAACATTATCATGCTGTAAGTATATATAACCTTGACCTTCCATCTCAACATTATCATGCTGTAAGTATATATAACATTGACCTTCTATCTCAACATTATCATGCTGTAAGTATATATAACCTTGACCTTCTATCTCAACATTATCATGCTGTAAGTATATATAACATTGACCTTCTATCTCAACATTATCATGCTGTAAGTATATATAACATTGACCTTCTATCTCAACATTATCATGCTGTAAGTATATATAACATTGACCTTCTATCTCAACATTATCATGCTGTAAGTATATATAACCTTGACCTTCTATCTCAACATTATCATGCTGTAAGTATATATAACATTGACCTTCTATCTCAACATTATCATGCTGTAAGTATATATAACCTTGACCTTCCATCTCAACATTGTCATGCTGTAAGTATATAATAAACTTTAACCTAACTGTTACCGAAAATGATTAATTGAGATGAGAAAAAGTGTTGTGACGTAAGCACCACACTAAATACTGTATTCCGGTATAAACCGACAAGGGTATAGAATCATAAAATACTTCATTTTCACATTTTAACCTGCTGAAATGCACTTTAGGATGGCTTATTCATCTCCTCATGCCAATTAATATACAATAATGAATGGAAAAATATGAGATTAAAAGATTCCATGAAAATTGCTAAGTTAAATCTAAGGTGCATAGCCTAAAAAAGCGATATTTTTCTACTTGTGATCATGATTTCAGTCAAGCATCTAGAGGACCTGCTCCAACACTGTAGTGAGTTAAATCCAAAAGTATAGAGCCAATCTAGCCGTTACATACATGCAGCCTGGCCAGGCTCTAAACTGCTGGTTTCTAAATTTTAATATTGAAATCTATTTAACATTGAATGAAATGTTCCAAATCAAAAGCAGGGTTAACTCTGTTATACAATTTTTATGAGTTTCAGGGTGTTAATTCAGATACTTAATTTTGTGATAGAGATACGATATTTATATCACTTACTTTGTACTGCCATTGTTTATTTTTGTTTCTTATTTGATTACATGATATTAATGATTTGAATCAAAACTAAATCTTATCAAAATTAAAGTTGATCGACAAATAAATCTTACTTCATAACAAAATAGAATAGTTGCATGGACATAAACCTGATACCCATGCAATATCAAGATTATCCACATTCTTAAAAGAAAAACAAAAACAAAAAAAACCCCAAAATACCTTGGTCACAACCATGTTTTCCTAGTATGAAACACTGAGAACTCTGTTTGATCCAAATAAGGTTCAACCTCTTCAAAATCAAGGTAAAGAAATGTATTGATATTAAACAATACTGATTACTCAAATTAAGATACTGGGAAATATATATATCTATGAATTTCTGTATATAATATTACTGAAAATCTGAGGCAGGTGGAAAAAGAATTAACCATTATTATAGAGAAGCTTTTTTAGCTCACCTGAGGACAATGTCCTCAATGTGAGCTTTGTGATGGCCCATTGTGCGTCGTCCATCAGTGCGTCTGCATGTGTCAACAATTTCTTTACACAACTTCTCCTAATTCACTTGGCCAAATTTTTGTTGAAACTTTGCAGGGATGTATCTTGCAAGAAGCTCTACCAAAGTTCTTCAAAGAATAAGATTCCATAAAGAACTCTGGTTGCCATGGCAACCAAAAGATTATTTTACAAAAAATCTTAAAAAATCATGTTGTAAAAAACTGAAAGAGTTAGAGCTTAAATATTTGGCATGAAACATCTTCTAGTAGATGTCTACCAAATTTTTCAAATAAAACTGTTTGACCTATTTCTCAGGTGAGCTTGTTTTAACATGTCCCCTCTTTGCCATGGTAACAGGAAATTTAAGATTGAGTATGCCATTTAAAAGGCTAATTATGGTCCAGTCAACATTTGTGCCAAGTTTGAACCGTATTGAAGCCTTTTAAGCTCACCTGTCACAAAGTGACAGGGTGAGCTTTTGTGATCGCTTTTTGTCCGGCGTTCGTCCGGCGTCCGTCCGTCCGTCCGTAAACTTTTACTTTAAATGACATCTCCTCATAAACCACTCAGCCAATTTCATCCAAACTTCACAGGAATGTTCCTTTGGTGGTCACCTTTAAAAATTGTTCAAAGAATTTAATTTCATGCAGAACTCTGGTTGCCATGGCAACCAAAAAAAAAAAAACAACTTTAAATATCTTCTTCTAAAAAACCCACAGAGCTAGAGTTTAGATATTTGGCAAGAAACATCTTCTAGTGAGTGTCTATCAAATAAAAGCCCTGGGGTCAAAATTGGCCCCGCCCCAGGGGGTCATTGATTTTCCTATATGCATATAGTAAAAACTTAAAAAATCTTCTTTTAAAGAATCCAAAGAGCTAATGCTAAGATATTTAGCATGAAACATCTTCTTATGGGTGTCTACCAAGTTTGTTCAAATAAAAGCCCTGGGGTCAAAATTGGCCCCACCTCAGGGGGTCATTGATTTTTCCTATATGCATATAGTAAAAACTTAAAAATCTTCTTTAAAAGAACCCAAAGAGCTAGAGCTAAGATATTTAGCATGAAACATGTTCTAATGGATGTCTACCAAGTTTGTTACAAAAAAGCCCTGGGGTCAAAATTGGCCACACCCCAGGGGGTCATTTATTTTCCTTATATGTGTATAGCAAAAACTTAAAAAATCTTCTTTGAAAAAAAAAATAGCTAGAGTTAAGATACTTAGCATGAAACATCTTCTAGTGAGTGTCTACAAAGTTTGTTCAAATAAAAGCCCTGGGGTCAAAATTGAACCCGCCCCAGGGGTCATTTATTTTCCTTATATGTGTATAGCAATCTTAAAAAATCTTCTATGAAAAAACTCAAATAGCTAGAGCTAAGATATTTAGCATGAAACATGTTCTAATGGATGTCTACCAAGTTTGTTCAAATAAGAGCCCTTGGGTCAAAATTGGCCCCGCCCCGGGGGTCATTAATTTTCTTTATATGTGTATAGCAAAAACTTAAAAATCTTCTTTGAAAAAACCCGAATAGCTAGAGTTAAGATATTAAGCATGAAACATTTTCTAGTAAGTGTCTACAAAGATTGTTCAAATAAAAGCCCTGGGGTCAAAACTGGCCCTGCCCAAGGGGTCTCATTGTTTTTTACTATATGTGTAAAGAAAAAACTCAACGAGCTAGACCTCTTCTAATGGGTGTCTACCATGTTTGTTCAAATAAAAGCCCTGGAGTTTTAAACTGGCCCCGCTCTGGGGGCCTATATACAGATGAGCGACTTCAGGGCCATCATGGCCCTCTTGTTTTAGTTTCATAGCGATTTGAGGCATTCAATTTCTCTTGGTAAAAGCTACAATTAAATATCTGACGTAAGAGCACTTATTTTTAGCTCTTTTTCTAGATGAACAGAGTAATTTCATAGTTTTATTATGGTATCTTATTAACCTATATTTTGTTGAACCATTACTAAATATTCCTTAATTGTGATAATTTGCTCATCTTTTTCAAATTTTACAAATATTTTGGTAGCCTAATTACTATTATAAATAAGCCCTGACATGCAATATTTGTATTATAATTTAGTTTTTACTGAATGATGTATTTTGATTTCAATTTATTGATAATACAGCAACATTACTTGTTCATTTTCCTATGATTAAAATTCCAGAAAAAAATATTCTATATCCTTAATTGAAATTTAATTGGTTATTAAATTTTGAAATAATTTAAGGCTTTCTGGCAGCTTAAAAGTTGTTGTTTACACTAGGCTTTATAATTGTGCTTTATATTTTTTGTTAAGATCACAATTCCAAAACAATGTAATGATATGATTAGTGTTTTCCCCTTCTAATTGCTCATTGCCAACTGAAAATGCATATTTCCTTCTCATTAAGAATGTTTTATGCATAGGAAACATATGATTAAGGACCTATTTTCTTGATGTATTTTGAATTACCCTTTTCTCATAAAATATTTTTTAAAACAGCTTATTTTATGTTAGGAAATATCTGAAAATTTTGAGATTTTTTTTCTATAATTGAGTCCTTTTTTAATGTTATATTTGTAGCTACAAGGGGGTGGAGACATGTCTTTGATGAAGAATTTTAACACAGCTGCTATCAGGCAGGGTTTTATAATGGATACAGTAAGTTTAATTACAATAAATAGTATTATATATTTGTTGAAGAATAGTGACCTAATTTGTAAAATTTGTACTCCCTGATTTGTGTAACTTGTATATACAGTGAAATTTGAGAAAACTGGATGGTTTTCGGACCCAGGGTTTTGTCAGGTTTTCTCAATGTCCCATTCAGAATCCTATGTACTGAGCAATGACTTACAACGGATGCTGTATATTTGCATTTTCATGATCATATGTATGTTATATATTGCTAAATAAAGAAATGATGAAATACAAAATAACATGTTTTATTTATTTTTATTACATTATGCATCTAAATACAATAAAATTCTGGATTTAATTTTCTAACTTTTCCTTATAGCAAATCTTTGCTTTAACTTTTTCAATACTCCTATATAAATATCATGGTTAAGCAAGGAAACCAAGATGCATTTTTTCATTATAAATATATGTATTATTTATTAAATATGTACAGTATTTCTATCATTATTCATGTTAAATAATAAATATATTATATATGTGTTATTTATAATTCATGAAATATTTATAATATTTCTCCTCCAGGAACCTCTTTACCACTCGGAGGTGTTTTCTCTTCATGGTTTCCATTTCGAATTGAAGGGAGCAGGATCTAAGGATGGAGTTTATTCTTTCTTTATGCAGGTAAATCAGCAAGTTTGAAAAAGATGCATTATTTCAGACCAATGTTTATAAAGTTAAGTGTTTTCCCAAATGAAAACACAGACCTTTTTAGCTCGACTATTCGATAAGAATAAGTAGAGCAATTGCAGTCACCCGAGCGTCGGCGTCGGCGTCGGCGTAACCACTTATGTTAAAGTTTTTGTAATAGTTCAAATATTTTCAAAGTCCATTGACATATGGCTTTGAAACTTTGCACACTTGTTCACCATCATGACCCCAACCTGTAAACAGGAGGAGGTAACTCTATTAAGCATTTTGACAGAATTATGCCCCTTTTTCGACTTAGAATTTACGTTAAAGTTTTTGTAATAGTTCAAATATTTTCAAAGTCCATGGACATATGGCTTTGAAACTTTGCACACTTGTTCACCATTATGACCCCAACCTGTAGACAGGAGGAGGTAACTCTATCAAGCATTTTGACAGAATTATGCCCCTTTTTCGACTTAGAATTTACGTTAAAGTTTTTGTAATAGTTCAAATATTTTCAAAGTCCATTGACATATGGCTTTGAAACTTTGCACACTTGTTCACCATCATGACCCAACCTGTAGACAGGAGGAGGTAACTCTATCAAGCATTTTGACAGAATTATGCCCTTTTTCGACTTAGAATTTACGTTAAAGTTTTTGTAATAGTTCAAATATTTTCAAAGTCCATTGACATATGGCTTTGAAACTTTGCACACTTGTTCACCATCATGACCCCAACCTGTAGACAGGTGGAGGTAACTCTATCAAGCATTTGACAGAATTATGCCCCTTTTTCGACTTAGAATTTACGTTAAAGTTTTTGTAATAGTTTCAAATTTTTTCAAAGTCCATTGACATATGGCTTTGAAACTTTGCACACTTGTTCACCATCATGACCCCAACCTGTAGACAGGAGGAGGTAACTCTATTAAGCATTTTGACAGAATTATGCCCCTTTTTCGACTTAGAATTTACGTTAAAGTTTTTTGTAATAGTTCAAATATTTTCAAAGTCCATTGACATATGGCTTTGAAACTTTGCACACTTGTTCACCATCATGACCCCAACCTGTAAACAGGAGGAGGTAACTGTATCAGGCATTTTTTTTACTATCAAGCACTAAGAATAGTCGAGCGTTGCTGTCCTACCGACAGCTCTTGTTCTGAATTGTTGCTCGCATTTTAAATTTTATCAGTATGTACAGTCATATGACTTAGCAAAAAGAGAATTTCTTACATATAGAAAGAAAATGAACTTATTCTTTCACTCAACAATTAAAGAATTGCTATTGTCATTCCAACTTTCAAGGTCAAAACTTTAAATTCTGCAAACACGTCATTGTACTTGAAATATCATCAAAGAATGACTGCTAACTCTCTGACAGCATAGTCATGTTGTGCATTTATGTAAAAAGCTTTATTTATCCTTTAAGAATTAAGGAAGTTAAGAAATTGATCATTTTTAGCTTATTTGAAGAATTAAAGCTTCTGTATGCACTTGAGATTTAGTTTCGGCATCAAACATGGTTTGGTTTTTGCATGCAAGTTGGTATCTCTAAAACTACTGAAGGGAATGGGTTGAAACTTCATACACTTATTTGAGAGCTCAATAGGAGGTGACTTTCTAAGACTTATTATTCTGTGATAAATTTTGACAGAATTATGGCCCTTTTTAAAGTTAGAAAAGTCTTTATCGTCAGTCCATTCTTTTACTGTCAAGCCCTGAGAATAGTCAAGAAAGCTGTCCTTCTGACAGCTCATGTTTGATTTTGAAAAAACATACCAAAAAATAAAAACAGATGAAAAGAGACCCTGTAGAATTGTATAATGCTTTATTTACACTCCAAGCTTGTGTTGAATTATAAGTATTTACAATGAAATAATGTAATGTTAATTAATATATTTGTAGAGACTGAAACCAGGTGACCCTATTTTGAGTTTCCGTCAATGTGAAAGAAACACGTTCTCTATGAGGGTAGACAGGGAGGTGAGATATTGTATAACAGCTCAGTATGTGAACAAGGAAGATAATAAGTCTGTTTGCACTGGTATAAAGAGTCAGAAGTTTGGACTTGGTGAGAAAACAAGTAAATCAGAGGTAAGCAACACATAATCATGTAAGGG